TCAATATGTTTTCTCATAAATACCCAATACTAGTTCTTATTTACACTCGCTCAATGCTTCTCTACAATGCATGCACAAAGCCGCTTTACTCATATGTGTCTCCATTGTATATATTGCCACAACAGAGTCTCCTCCACTGTCTCCCCCGACTGTGCCCAAGAACGAACGTAGGAATCTTGGCAAGAGCGACGATGATTTTAAAAATAAATCGATAGTGAGCGATGAGGATCCTTATAATAGATCAGATGAGCCTCTGAATGGAATGGGTACCGGAGACAGCCACAATCCACAGTTGGGGACTGGAGCTCACGGGCTCGCACCCAAGAGTACCGAACATCCGCTGCCAGAGATACGTGTAGAGACACCTCGAACAAGATTGGGAGGGTCCATACTTAGAGGTAAGAGTCTTGATCTGCGTGTGGGCACCGAAATGAGAAGCACTCGTCATGTATCAGGCTGTTATAGTTAGATTTCTCTGGAGTGGCTTTTGGCATACCCGCCGAGGACCATGGAAGCGAATTCCTTCTGTGTATTGTTTGTGCTGACTCTTGTCGATAGGCATTCACGATCGCCGAACTTAAAATTTTTTTTTTGACGACTGGCAACCGCTAAAACCTATCCGTCCAAAGGATGTTGTTTTCAAACCGGCATTGACACATGTTTGCAGGTATACTACTCGTGCCTGATTGTTTATTGGTGGGCACACTTTTGCATGCATCCTACAGTTATCTAATTGTTCAACCTTCTGTATGGACACACCTTTGTGTGTAGACCCATAGGTGAGCGTCTAATGAATACCCGCAACATTCTCAACGTTGAGACTGGGTGTGGTCTCTGTATGATAAACGGCTCATATGTTTCATAGGCCAATGATTGAGGGTTTTAGGGTTTGAGTAAAGCATATTGTGATTTGGTTTTGGAATAGGCTGTACTTTGTTTCTATTGATATTCAGCAGGAGAACCCCTCTATTTTACCTCAAACCTATGTCTAGACCTACACTGTTGCCCAAAGCTACACCCCCAAAGTATCTTGATGATTTACCAAAGATCTGTCCAAATGGAGCTGTGTATCTTTCCACCTTCTTATTCTAACTCCTTCTTTCCCTCATACGCATATGAAGCTTTTTATACTGACTCAGACGACGACAACGCAGAGCTCTGTTTCAAATTCGACACCCCTAATATATATTTAATCCCCATTTATCTATTGCTAGGGAGATATTACCTTTGCATCACTTGTTTGTTGCCCTTCCCTCTTTTCTCCTATGTATCTATCAACACCGACTCAGATCTGCATTTTAAATTTGGTACCTCTAATAAAGCATACTATTTTCACATATATCCTTATGTCTATCCGTAACCGGAGGTTGCCTTCCCAACTTTGTATTTATTCTCACCCCCCACTTCGTATTTATTCTTACCCCCCACTTTCCCACTCTTCCCTATGTAGCTATCGACACCGACTCAGACGACGACGATGCTGAGCTGTGTTTCGAAGACCCCATGCGCATCTCCGCACTTAACGAGCCGCAGCTCCAGCAGTCCATGTACTTCAGCACACAGTCAGTGGCATGCTCAGAAACCACTCAACCCACCACTCAACTCATACAAACTCACTCAGAAACCACTCAACTCAGACAAACACACTCGCATGGCCATGGATGTTCAGGCGAAGGTGTCGGGGGGGGGAAGGTAGAGACAGAGACAAAGACAGAGACAGATAAAGAGACGGAGACGGGGGGGATGACAAGAGTTGGCGAGGATGCAAAGGGAGATGCACCTATAGCTATACAGGAGAACATACGCCCACAGACTAGTAGACTCACAGATACGCACACGGGTAAGGGTGGTTTTGGCGCGGGTACGCCGGATGTAGCCGACGACAGGCCCAGCGATACCCACACGGGTGAGACAAAGCGGAGGGAGGACACAGGGAATGACGGGCATGGCACGCAGGACAGGACAGGGGCACACACACACACACCAACCAACACTAGCTCTGTTATGGCCACGGACACGCAAGGCCGTACAAGCATAGGTGCAGGCGCAGGTACAAGTGCAGACACACGCTCAAGCATCCACGGGACAGAACGTGAAGACACCCTGTCAAGGAAAGCCAAGCACGACAACGCGTATAGCCACAGCAACACATGGTTAGTGATGGAGGAAGCACATGACGCGCACTACACGGACACGCTCAGACACCCCCAGCGGGTGCGACCGTTGCTCACGTTTGGTACCGAACTTCGAGCGACGACGCAGGTAGATAGAAAAGCTGGTACTCAGCCCCTTCGTATTTGTATGTACGTAGCTAAGTATGTACCAGTTCTACCAATGTAAAGTTTAGTACTCTATGTGTGTGTCGGCTTTCGATACACCCATCAGTGTATTTACGGTGCTGTGCATGTCTGTACTGGTGCATTGTACTATATCT